CACTGACGACAAGGGCAACGTCATCAACCCCTCTCCTTCCTCCCTTCCCTCCCTCCTTCCAGAACCCACCTCCCACCCCCTCCCAGACTAAAAGACGTAGGTATTGACACTGCTTTCCTCCCCTCCCCTCCCTGCCCCTCCCCTCCCCTCCCCTCCCTTCCCCCTTTTCCCCCTCAACCCCTCGCAGTCCCGTGGCGACCACCATCGCAATGTGTGCATCATCCCCGTGTCGGCTCACGGCACCAACCCGGCGAGTGCCGCCATGTGTGGCATGAAGATCGTGGCTGTGGGCACGGACGACAAGGGCAACGTCAACATCGCTGAGCTGAAGGCCGCTGCTGAGAAGCACAAGGACGACCTCGCTGCCCTCATGGTGAGTGTGTGGGGGGGCTTGTAGCCAGGTCAGGGTAATGTGTCCCTCGTTGCTGGGGTAAAATACCTTAGGCACTCTGAGGCACGAAGACGGTGGCTGTCGGCACTGACAACAAGGGCAACGTCAACATTGCTGAGCTGAAGGCAGCCGCTGAGAAGCACAAGGACGACCTCGCCGCTCTCATGGTGAGTGTGTGTTTGGGAGGGACGGGGGCGGGCGTGTTGAAGTGGGTATTAGGCACTGGTAACATCGCTGAGCTTAAGGTAGCCGCTGAGAAGCACAAGGACGACCTCGCCGCCCTCATGGTGAGTTGGTACGGCTTACGCGCTAGCTGCGTGGGAGCTAGCTGCTTATGCCTGCTCTTCTCTCCTCCCCTACTCCCCCTTGGTCCCCCTCCCTCCTCCCCGGCCTCACTCCTTCCTTCCCTTCCGCTCCCCTCCTTAGTTCTCTCCTTGTCAGTCAGTCCCACTCTTTTTCTCTCAGCCCTTTAAGTTCTTTTCCCGTTTCCCATGTGCATGACCACGTGCACATGGCCCTACGTGTTTGCAGATCACGTACCCATCGACCCACGGAGTGTACGAGGAGGGTGTTGACGAGATTTGCCGCATCATCCACGCCAACGGTGGCCAAGTGTACATGGATGGCGCCAACATGAACGCTCAGGTGAGTCTTGAGCAGGGAGTTGAGACTAACGCACTAACCTGAAAGCACCAGTCAGATGAGAACATCAAATATCTAGGCCAGTCCTCCAGTCTTGTTACACACCCATGGGTAACCCACTTGGTGACCCTTTTCCACCTATTCTCCTCTCCTCATTCCCCCCCTTTCTTCACCCCCTCCTCTCCCTTCCCTCTCCCGGCAATACATCTTTTTTTCTCTATCTCCCTACAGGTTGGCCTCACCAGCCCGGGCCACATAGGGGCGGACGTGTGCCATCTCAACCTGCACAAGACCTTCTGCATTCCCCACGGAGGAGGCGGTCCTGGCATGGGCCCCATTGGAGTCAAGGCACACCTTGCCCCCTTCCTGCCCTCCCACCCTGTGGTGAGTTGTCTTTTGCTCCCCTTAACGATGTGGTGCCTCCTACCCACCCTCTGTTGAGTTATATTCCTCTTCATCTTTTCCCCTAGCCACGGTCTGCATTCCAAACGATGCCTCATGGCTCAATTGGCATGCACATGGGCGCCGTTGTCAGTGCTCCCAGAGCCCATCCCACTCACCCACATTGGAACATCCTTCTTCCACTCTCTCTCCTCCTTCCTTACCACCGCTCCCGTTCGCCGTCACCCTTACCACTCGCTCACAAGCTTCTTCCACTGTCCTCCTACCCCTCCCCTCCCCATTGGAGGCATCCCCACTGGAGGCATCCCCCCTCCTCCCCCTGGCTCGGTGGGCAAGCAGATGGGCGCCATTGCCGCTGCTCCCTGGGGCTCTGCGCTCATCCTGCCCATCTCCTTCATGTACCCTCGTGTTGACTAATGTTATGCCTCTCCACCCCTCCCCACCCATCAGATACCAACTGGAGGCATCCCCCCTCCCCCTCCCGGCTCGGTGGGCAAGCAGATGGGCGCCATTGCTGCCGCCCCCTGGGGGTCTGCGCTCATCCTGCCCATCTCCTTCATGTACATCGCCATGATGGGCGCCCAAGGACTCACTGACGCTTCAAGACTTGCCATCTTGAACGCCAACTACATGGCCAAGAGGCTTGAGGTGGGTGGGATGATTTCAAGTTGGGACATCTTGAACGCTAGCTGCCTATAGGGGTCTGTCAGCTCATCCTGCCCATCTCCTCATGTACAACGCCATAATGTGGGTGTATGCCGCTTCCTGGTGCAGCGTACCTCTTAAACCACTTCCTGGTGCTGTTCAGTTCAGGCGCACCAACCACACCGGCTGGTTGGAGCCCTTGTCCTTCTCCTCCTCACCTCTTCTTCCCTCCATCTCTCTGTCTCCCCCAACCCTTCCTGCAGAACCACTACCCAGTGCTGTTCAGGGGAGCTAATGGCACCTGTGCTCACGAGTTCATTATCGACCTCAGGGGATTCAAGGTGGGTCTCAGGTGAAACACCAGGTGACACAGCAGGTGGAAACTCCATCTTTCTCCCTTGGGGTGAACAAATTGGACATTCCATTTCCAACTGATATCTCTTTTTTTCGGCAAGGGTGACCTCAGTCATTGCTAGAGTGACCTCAGTCCTTGCCCCAGATACAGAAACAATCCGGATCTCATCCCATGTTGATCCCTCCACCAGGGCACAGCACGCATTGAGCCGGAGGACGTGGCCAAGAGGCTGATGGACTATGGCTTGTGTAGCTTCATGAAGTAATATGATTTTAACCCACTGTACTCCCTCCACCAGGGCGCGGCACACATTGATCCAGAGGATGTGGCGAATCGACTGATGGACCCCTAGCTAGGTAGACCTCAGTACTTGCCCCAGACTAACTCAACAATACTGATATCTCAAACCCGTGTATTCCCCTATTCCCTCCTCCAGGGCACGGCGCACATCGAGCCAGAGGATGTGGCCAAGAGGCTGATGGACTATGGCTTCCATGCGCCCACCATGTCATGGCCCGTGCCCGGCACTCTCATGATCGAACCCACCGAGTCCGAGAGCAAGGTGAGCTGATGATGAGAGGAGGGCGAGGCTACGTGGGTGGTGAGGGGTACTGCAGGCCATAGGCTGATGGACTATGGTTTCCATGCACCCACCATGTCGTGGCCCATGCCCGGCACTCTCGTGATCGATCCCACCGAGTCCGAGAGCAAGGTGAGTTGGTGTGTGGAGTTGAGGGTGTTCTGTTGCCAAAGGGGGATTCTCATGTCGGTAAATACATGCTACTGCCTTTTTCATGCATGCTTTCATGGTTGAAAATCTGCTCTGAGTTTATGAGATGACGCTTGTATAGTCTGGTTTGACAAGTAGGGGCGCAATGGCACTGCTCACACATGCATTCATGTTCCTAATTAACTCTACTTCCACCCTTACCCTTCCGTCCCCTGTCCCCTGTGTCCTTCCCTTACCCTTTTTCCACACTTATGCCTATCACCCACGTTCTCCAGGCCGAGCTGGACCGTTTCTGCGATGCAATGATTGCAATTCGGGAGGAGATCCGAGCCATTGAGGATGGGAAGGCAGACAAGGCCAACAACACACTCAAGAACGCCCCCCACCCCGCCTCTGTGGTGATTGCTGACGAGTGGACCAAGCCCTACCCACGCGAGCAAGCAGCCTTCCCCGCTCCCTGGGTGCGAGCTGCCAAGTTCTGGCCCACTACAGGTCGCATCGATAATGTGTACGGTGACCGTAACCTGGTGGCAGTTTTGCCACCTGCAGATTCGGCATAGGAGCAGTTCCGCTTGGTTTTGAGAAGGGGTTACCATTTTGTTGTTTCATTTTTTTAGGTTCGATTACAGAAGTATTCGTACCCTGTCCTTGAATACACCTGCTCGTAAAATGATGATATCTGCATTTATTGTGGGCCGTCTACTTATGCATTTGAATTTGTACTTAGACCAGCTAAGGCAGTATTCGTAACATGCAATAACGCATCCTTGTCCACCAAAGTGCACGGGCGGTGAGAGCCGTTGTTGAAGTGCGTGCGATGTGGTGAGGGAACCGTGGTGCTGGTTTGGTGACCGGAGGCTCGGGAACCAATAGTGCGAGAAGCTGCTTGTGCGGTTGGGTCAAAACAAAGGAGGTGTGGAAGACTTTTCCCTCTTGTAACATATCCGGCATTCCGAGCATGTTGCTGAACTAGGGGCAAACCACCAATACGGGAGCTTCGTCTTCTCGCATGGCGGGAAAAGTTCATGTCGTACCTCTCCGTTTGGCGTTTTTCCCAAACCTTGGGGTCTCCCTTACCTGCAACGAACCTCGCCCAAACCAGCACTTTCGTCCGTGATAGCGGCACACTCGGTACGTCCGCCCTTGGCTGCGTTGGCAGTTGGGTGTGGCAGGCTGGAAGGCTGGAAGCGGGGCCTCGCCTTGCCGTGACCTCTTTACAGTACAAGGTATTCCCTCTGCGCTCACGTCCGTGCTTGTCTTGAGGCAAATAAGAGCCAACCCTACCTAACCGCGATGGAATGCAGATAAACCGTTATACCACACAAAATCTCGCATCAAACGGCCTTCAAGCGATCATCCTTCCCAGCCCTCGGAGAGCTGTGGTGAGGAGAGGGGAGGGGGTGAGAATCGAGATGTTTCATTGGCTGTGAGCTTTCTGCACTGCCCTGCTTGCTGCTGCTGTTACTGCAGGGGTGGTTTCCGCTCCAATCAAGCTGTCTATCCACTCCTAGCAACCTTAGGACATAGCTCTGGGTTAGGGGTTTCAACTCGAGCAAGCTGGAAGTGTTTCGAGCTAGCGCATACGAGATCGTAGTGGTAACACCTAAGGCGGAAGAAGTACAAACCATTTGCATTAGTTTTTTTTCCGAGGGATAGGCGTTTCTGCAGATTCCCTTAGGTTAGGTTTGCCACCTCGTTGGTCAACATGTTTTGGCGAGTAGCGGGCCTCGCTGCAACCTCACCGGTCAGTCCGTAGCCATTTCTCCTGATCGCAGTTTTAGCTTCGTGACCCTCAGAATCTTACAGGTGTGCTAGTTTTATTTTCGTATTTCCAGGTTGATTTAATTCTTGACAGAGATCAGTATACCCTTGAGGAGCTACTGGACGAGGATGATCTTATTCAGGAATGCAAGTCTCTGAACAACCGGCTTGTGAACTTGTATGTATTATAATCGAAAACTTCGGCTAGTTTTGACGCGATGGCGCAACGTTTCTCACCGTAGGTTTCCCGGGACATGCCTGTTTTCAGCCTTAAAGGGAAGCCGCAAATCGAGAAGATGATCCGATATGTGGTGGAGGCACCTCCCGACGATGGAGATGCTAAGCGGACATTCAAGTATGCGCGGCGACATCCGTTCTTAGCTTAGGGTGAAGTTTGTTGAGAGTACTCAGACGATCTTCTAATTTGCTTGCAGATTCCCGTTCATTTCGTGCGAAGTCTTTACATGCGACATTGATCAGATATTAACGACAGTGGTCGAGGAAGAAGAGGTATTTGTTACTTTGATTGTTTCTCAATGTCGGAAAAGTAGGATATTGTTACTTCGATCTATGAGGATGTAGCTGCGGTGAATAAGCGCTGAAGTTACCGTTCTGATTAAATGCAGATTATGGATCTGCTTTTCTCCTTCACAAATCCAGATCGTCCGCACTCGAACCTTCTAGCAGGGTACTTCAGCAAGGTATGCGTATAAGCTTTATGGAGACCAGCGTGCCTTGAAAATTGCTTTGTATTTGGTGCCTTTGACTGCCGTTGTTTTAATAACTCCTTGTTTCTTCGTCAGGTGGCTGTTTCGCTCCTTATCCGAAAAACTCCAGAAGTGATGGCATACCTTCAGGTGCGTGTCACATTTTCTTTATTAATGCTTTCTTTCGCTTCATGATTCATTCGTTTGCTAACGAATGTCGTGCATGCTGCATGCCGACCTATTTTTTTTCCAGAGGCACCCAGAGGTTCTAGATAACCTGATTCGACTGATTGGGATCACATCCGTAATGGAGGTACGTATCCGTATGGGAGAATTTGAGCCGACGCAAATTACCGCTTTCTTGTACAGGAGAACCTGCAACTCTTAATTTCTCTGTTTATGTCGTGCATATTGATATAACGGCGTGTGCATTGCGTACTGATCAGGTCGTGATGAAGCTTGTAGGAGCAGACGACCAGATCATGATGTATCATTCCGACAAGCTGGAATGGCTGGCTGAGACGAGCCTACTGGACACATTGCTGTCTCAACTTAGTGCTCAGGTAGCGTTGCAGCCACTTTCTCTCGCCGTCACGTTCACCCTTCTTCGCGTATTAATTTTCATTCTATGGATTTCGAACATAGCGTTATTTTTTTTCGTTCTGTCTCGCAGAGCTCCTCAGATGTTCATGCGAACGCGGCCGAGTGCCTGTCAGCCATCGCGAGAACAGCCCCATCCGCATTGGCCGCTCAGTTGTCAACCCCCAAGTGAGCATTCGTTTTTTTGTTAAAATCTTATACATTGATATTGATCTATCCTTACTCACGTACGCTGGAAATGTGTGATTTGTGCGTTCAGGTACATTGGGAAGTTTTTCGAGCATGTGCTGGAAGGCCCGAGATCGATGACATCCGTCATCAACTCCCTGTCCGTCTGCATCACGTTACTCGACCCAAAGCGCGCACCGCCTCCTGGCGTCATGCGCAACCAGCTCCAATATCAGCTGCAGACCCAGCAGTATCAGCAGCAGCAGCAAGTGATCTCTGTGGAGACCGTGGAAGGGATGGTTCAGCGACTGGGTAAGCAGCCGGAGCGAGACAGTCAACGTTGCATCTTGTGTAGTTTTAGTGTTAGAGCAGTTGAGAACTAGTTTCTGGTTCATTTCCGTCGTGCCTTGCATGGAACCTGTGTCTGTTTCTGTTTCAGGCGAGTTGATTGGCATTCTAGACCTTTCAAACGACGACAAGGTCCTCCCAACAACCTATGGAGAGCTACGGCCGCCGCTTGGCATTCACCGTCTCAAGGTACAGGGATCAAAGCCAGCTTGAAGCGTATTTTATTTCCTCCTGTTGGTATCCCCTGCTTGTCGTCTCCTTTATTCATGATTTCTTCACCTGCTTATTGCCTTGACAGATTGTGGAGTTCATTGGAGTGCTTCTTGGCACCAACAGCGAGCTTGTGCGCCTGGAGCTTGTGAGGCTAGGCGGCGTGCGCACATGTTTGGATCTCTTTTTCAGGTGCACATTTTCCCCAAATCGATGTCATCCCCACCCTCCCCTCTTCCCCCACCCCCTCCCCCCTCTTTCCCCCGTTTCCCCATTTCCTGTCGTTGTCATGCTCACATGGCACCGTAATCGTTCACGTTTTTGTCTCTCTCCATCTAAAACTTACTGAGTTTCTGCTTGTTTTACCTGCCATGACTTTCGATCTGCGTTATTGCTCAATTCCTATTTCCAGATTTCACTTCAACAACTTTCTGCATCACCACGTGGAGAGGATGGTCATGGCCATTCTGGAGAGTGGAAGCTCGTTGCTGCTGGATCACCTTTTCGTGGAGTGCGACATGCTCAACCGAATCATGACCGCCTATGACGACCCCCATGCGCCAGATTCACGCCCGGAGGTACGCATTACCGCCCCCTCACTCCCATGTTAGCCTGCCGTTGTTGCTCGCCTCTTGGGCGTAAGCGTTTCCCTTGCGTGTTGTTCTTTTTTTCTCTTACAAGCGTTGCCTTGCGTCTGTGTGGCTGGCTGCAGCCAAGAGCTGCGTCAGCGAGAGTGCCTGCTCGGAGCGGGTACATGGGCCACCTGACGAGAATAGCCAACAGGATCTGCCAGCTGGCAGCGTCAAACTCGCAGATCGAGGCTCACGTTCAGGCATGTGCGCATGAGCATGTGATTTAATGAATGACCCTTCGGGTGCATGCATCAGGTGGGGATCCATGTGGGCGCGTGCATGCATGTCGTGTATGTGCACATTCAGGCGTTAGCATTGAAACAACACGCTAAAGTGAGCAGGAACTGAAGGGTCACGTGTTGACATTACCATTACAAAAGCACGTTCAGAGAACCAGGATGTGAAGGGGTAAGGCTGGGATAGTGGCGCTGTGTATCCTGCTGGTTGTGAGAGTAATGGGAGGCCCTTCAATTACAACAATATGTTGAGGAAAGTGCTTTAAAGCTTCGACTGTGTACTATATGGCTGACTACCTTCGCAGTAGCTAGCGTTGATAGATTCGCTAGCAGCTTTGTATTTTGTGATCCGTGTCTTGTCCTCCTCATTAACGACCTGCCCTGCCCTGCTCCAACCAACCCCCCCCCCCCCCTTCCTCCCCCCCTCCTCTCTCCCCCTTCTCCCGACTCCCGCCTCCCCCGTTTCCTTTGCAGGCGAATCCACGGTGGGCGGATTGGCAGAAGAAAGTTCTCAGAAAACGCCTTTTGCTCGAGAATGTCTACCAGTGGTCTTGCGGGTACGCCTTAGTCTGCACCCCATCTCTCCTTGCGTTCTGCCACTCTGTCCAACCAAAAAGTTCCATAGTTTCGTGGCAACATCTGTTGATTCCCCACCCTCTCAGACTTAAATAATGCAACAAGTTGCTACTGCTGCCAGCCTCTCTGCATTACATGAATCTTCACCACGTGCCGCCATCTCCTCCCACCGTATCCCACACATTCCCGCCGGTTTGCCAGCCAGCCAGTAGCGCAGGACGACTTCAGAACTCATCACATGCCCCTGTTCCCCCCCACCTTATCCCACCCATTCCCGCCGTTTTGCCAGCCGGCCAGCTGCATTGGACGACCGGCCAGGCGACAGTGATGACGACGAGTTCAACAGCCGCGACCGGGACTTTGACATTTCCACCATCTCGCTCACAGGAGGCTCGAACGCCAACAGGAGCTATGGGCAATACGCATACGGGCAGTCACTGCTTGACTCAGACGACGTGGAAGAGGTATGATATCGCCTCGCCTTTTTTAGCTTCAAGACAGCTCAGTAATCGCCACTATGCTTCCTCCCCTTGTCTTGCTTCTGCTTTATTCTTCTTCCCTCGCTTCACCCCCACCTCCTCTCCCCCCCCTTCCCCACTCCTTCTCAACCACCCCCCCCCCCATCCCCTCTTTCTTCTCGTCTTGCTTTGCATTTCATTGCTTTGTTGGTTTTACTATACCTGTCATTCTTTCCTCCACTTCCTTGGGTCCCCACTCTTGTCCACCCTCCTCTTTCTCAACTCAGCCTGTGTTTTTTCTGTTGAAGCGCTGTCACTTGCTTGTTTGCCTGTTGCTTGCTTGATGGTCGCTGCTGCCCCTCTTCCCTCTCGCCGCGCTCTAGCTCTTGCTCCGATGTAGCACCACCTGCTGCTGCATCTGCCACGCAATGCAAGCCAGCAGCAGCTTCAGTAGCGACAGCCGCAGCAGCTACTCATCCTTGTGCCAGGGGGTTGTGCTTGCTGTTGTGAACTGCATGTGGGGCTGTTACTCGCTCTGGTGTGGCGCGTCTCCGTTGCTCTCAGGGCCACGAGCTCAGGGATCCCGTAAGTGCTCCTCTCCACCTCCCTTATCCTCCTCTGCCCCCTCCTCTCCTCCCTCACCTCTTCCTGTCCCCCACCTCATACCCTTGCCCGCCCTCACCCTACCCACCCCTTTATCTAAAGCGTTATACCTGAGGTATGCCTTCTGTGTTTCGTCGCCTGTTTTTCAATATGCTGTGCCGATCTTGACTGTTTCCTTATGCTTTTGTGCTACTTCAGCTGTGCTTGTTGTAGCAAGCGAGCTGTTGTGTGAGCACATCCACAATTATCTAATTGCACTTAGAGAAAGGGCGTACTGAGGGCATAGAACAGACAGTGTGAGTGGTTGTCTTGGCAGCAGACTTCAATCAGTGTATCCCTCTCTTGCCTCTCTTGCAGTATGACGTGGACCTCGTGAAGGCGGAGCAAGAAATCGAGACATTGACCCTCACTGAGAATGCTCCCACAAGGTAGGTACTTTAACCCTGTGTTTGTGTTTTTTTTGTGGCATGGCCTGCAGCCATTTGGTCCATATCAATGCTCGTCTGCATTTCGCATACCCTCATGCAAGCATATTCTCATTCAAGAGGACTGCGTGTCCTCTCTGAAAGTCATGTTCATTCCCATCACATTGTCTACCTTTCCTTTTGAGATGTAACCGTTTGGTAGACTGCTAGCTAAAAAAGGCACCTTTTTTTCTCGTTTGCACTCTACTGTGTGTTTCAGTGGTGAGTCTAAGCTGCTGCCCACGCCTGCAGCAGAGGAGCCTGACAAGCCTTTGTCCAGCGACAAGCCTGAGGGTGATGACGCTGCAGATGACGAGGAGGAAGGCGCTGAGCAGACTGGCACTGATGAATCCGGTTTCAAGTGAGCATGCTGTGTTTCTCTCTGTCTGGACATGTCTCTTTTCCATGTCACTTGTCCTTGTCTACACTTAATTCAAATCTACCCCAACCACACCCTTCCGCCTGTCGTCCTTCAAGTTTTTATGTGTCCACCCTTGTCAATGCTGTCATTCAATTTGTCTTTCTCCTCGTGTGCATCCAGGCCGTTGCTGCTGGACGGTCCCAGCAGCCTGTTCACATCATCAGAGGCAGCACAAACCGCATGGGTGGCGTTCCAAGAGGAGCAGCAGCAGATGGCAGCAGCGGGTGATGGTGGAGAGGGTAGTGCAGTAATAGCTGAAGAGGCAGCAGAAGGGTTGGCTGAAGGGGCAATTGAAGGGGCAGCTGCAGGGGAAGCTGAAGTGGCTGTGGTATCTGCCGCAGCTGAAGAAACAGCATCTGAAGTTACAAGAAGCAGTGAAAGTTCTGGTGCTGTTACTGTCACTGACGAATCATCTGGGGTTGTTGCAGCAGAAAGCATTGAGGAGTCAGGCAGTGCTGGTGCTGATGTCCCACCAGCAATCACTCAAGAATCGAGTGTAGAGTCAGGAAGCACCCAGCAGGCTGTGGACGTTTTTGAGAGTTCACCCTTTGTTGCAGCTTCCACGCCAGAGGCAACAACCGAAGAAACTGCTGCAGCGCAATCTGACGATGTCACAGCTGCTGCACTCACAGAGGCTTCAACAGCCGCACTGACTGACCCTACTTTAGGTGAAAGCACATCTGAATCCCCGGATGTCGACACAACAGCAACTAAAGTTCCCGTAGTAGCAGGTGCTGTAGCAGAGACAACAACTGGCGAGGTAATCTCAGGTGCAGAAGGAGAAATCAGGGGTGCTGGGGAGACGGGTGGAGCAGGAGGGCAGCAAGTCACCCGGGGAGGTAATAGTGAAGGGCAGGCAGGAACAGAAGCTGATACTAGCTGTGGATCTGCTGCTGCAGCTGTGGTGTCGACATCAGCTGTAGAGGTCCAACCAGAATCAGCAGATAGCAAGGCGCCTGTTGCTGATAGTGAATCGGCACAATGAGGTGGAAATTCATCCGCAAATTTGGAGTGACTGCCAACGAATTCTTCACCGTGCCATCATCAGGCTTCTGCTTGCTATCGCCCCCTCTAGCATAGCTTTTTGCCAACTAAAACCAGCAATTGCGTTGGCCCATTCCTGCTACATGGGTGTTGTCTGGTGCTGGTTCTTGTATGCCAGCAAGCCTCTTGAGCTAAAAACACTGTCAAGCAGACAGGAGACAAAGTCGGCAATAGGTTATTTGAATGTTAGGCTCAGAATGCTCATTTGGTATTACCCAAGGCAGCTGAGCAATGTAGGGTACCCCACATGAAAATGGTTACATTGTTTGGTGCATGATGACTGTTGCTCGACTGCAGTTTGCATGGATGGGTGGGTCACTTCGGGGCCGTACTGTAAATCTCGCGACCCGAATTGCGAGGTGCATAGATAAACCTAAACAAGAGGCGACGAAATCGTCTTAGGGTTGCGAAGCATTTTACGTAACGATATGTACACAATTTTTTACATTTTACATAACGACATGTACCGTACACAATTTTCTACAAGTGAGAATACTTTTATAAAAACCTGTGGTAATTGACATTTATAGCAACGACTCGAAAAACAGCTTCACCATGATTCGAACCTACGACCTTCGTACCCAACGCCTTTCTCCTACCGACTGCACTAGCGCTACTGCAAAGAGAAGCAACATAATAATCTAGATTACATAAAGTAACGACGAATCTGACACTTTGTTAGGGTTGGCTCTTCCTTTCTTTCTCCCTCCCTTCCGCTCGCTGGTTTAGCTCCCCGCTACTCACGCCCCACCTACCCGTTCCTACTAAGGTGAGAACAACTCTACCTTACCGTTTCAAGTAGAATTAAGTTACCTGATTTCTAGCGAGACTAGCATGCGTTAATCTCGTACATAGTTGTTTACTCTTACCCTGGCCGCGTTTTAAAAAGATAGTTTGATTAAGCCTATGTTCTAGGTTCTAGGTATTCGTTTTCTCTTTCTCTTTTCTTCTCGCCAGTGGAGCTTGTTCTTTTGCCTCACGCTACTTACGGTCCACCTACCACTCCAAGGTCAGAAAGTTTAAGATGTCATTTAGAGTTGTTAGCTCATGGTAAGATGTAAGCTCTTATTGTCGTCATTTACTTCCTATTCTTAGTTAGCCCTCCCTTTCCTACTTCCTCTCGTTCTGCTGACGGGCTACGGGACTTCCGCTAGGTAAGCTCCTAACTTGCAACTTAAACGCGTTCGATACCTGTTAGGTCGACTTAATTCTAACACAGGACGGCTTAGATCTAAACTAGGTCGGCTTAGATCTTGTTTTTACACATGTTTTTTTTCGAAATCGTAGAAATCGTAATTTATTGAACACTCTCTCTATCTCTCGTTCGTTCTCGCTCGTTCTCTCTCTCGTTCTCTCTCTCTCGTCCTCGTTCTCTCGTTCTCTCTCTCTCGTTCTCGTTTTCTCTCGTTCTCTCCCTCTCTCTCGTTCTCGCTCTCTGTATTCGTTATATTCTCTTCTTTCGTTTACTGTCTCGGTATTTTGTTCCTCTATTCCCGTTCCTTATTTTCGTTTTATGCCTCGTTAGATTCTTCTCCATGCTCTTTGTCAAGTCTAACCATTCAATGCTCACGGCGTTTTTCTTAGCCCTTGTATTGATTCATTTGTTTCTTCGTTATTCCTGTTTCTCTTCATTTCATCACACCTTATGCCTTTTTTCTGTTTTGTTTGTTGTACCGGCTATTCATTTCCGTTCCTCCTTTCCACTTCCTAAACCCGTTTGTCAGGGGCCTTTCCGGTCAGGAACGCGATTTCAATCCAGAAAATGCGTATTGGTCACTAGGATTTATCGTATTGTCCTTTTAACATTGATTTACTTGTTATGTAGTTCGCGTCGCGTGTATCTCGTGTTTTTTGGCTGGGTTTGCCGGAGCTCGTGTTTTTTATTGTGTGAATGTGTTTGTTCGTGTGAGTGCATTCATCTCATCTGTCATTGCAATATCAATGCATGTCTGTCAATTTTAAAAAGGGGGTTCATGTCAGATTTATATGACATAGTTGTTGTAGGCTATAGTGGGGTAGCACATATGGGGTACAGGGTTTCTAGGGTTGTATTTGTACCCATCTTTCCTTAGTCATTTTCATCCCTGTTCGTTTATTCTCACATGGTATAGAGCGGGTCCTTCTACGGACCGGTTTTTTTTTTTTTTTTTTTTTGGGCCCACCGAAGCGCCCCCCCGAGGCGCGATCCTTTTTTTTAGCGACCCCTCCGGTCGCCATTTCCCCTGCGGCCCCGCCGCCTTCACTGACGCGGCCCCGCCGCCCTCTCTGTCGCGGCTCGGCCGCCTGCTCTCACGCGGCCCCGCCCCGGCTCCTTCGCGGCCCCGCCGCCTGCTCTCGCGCGGCCCCGCCCCGGCTTCTACGCGGCCCCGCCCCGGCTTTCACGCGGCCCCGCCGACGGCTTCGTCGCGGCCCCGCCCAGGCCCTTACGCGGCTCGGCCGCCTGCTCTCACGCGGCCCCGCCCCGGCTCCTTCGCGGCCCCGCCGCCTGCTCTCGCGCGGCCCTGCCCCGGCTTCTACGCGGCCCCGCCCCGGCTTTCACGCGGCCCCGCCGACGGCTTCGTCGCGGCCCCGCCCAGGCCCTTACGCGGCTCCGCCGCCTGCTCTCACGCGGCCCCGCCCCGGCTCCTTCGCGGCCCCGCCGCCTGCTCTCACGCGGCCCCGCCCCGGCTTCTACGCGGCCCCGCCCCGGCTTTCACGCGGCCCCGCCGACGGCTTCGTCGCGGCCCCGCCCAGGCCCTTACGCGGCCCCGCCGCCTGCCCCCGTCGCGGCCCGGTCTCCTCCTGACGGCTCCTGCCGTCCCCCCTTCTACCGGCCCCGCAACTGCATCTGCTGGCCCCGCCGCTGCACCTACCGGCCCCCCACCACCCACCCCCCCCTTTTCCCGTCGCCCGTCGCGGCTCCTTCGGGGGCCGCAAGCGGCCCCCTCAGGTCGCCTCGACAGGCGACGGGAGAGGCCAGCAGAGGTGTGGCAGGTGTGTGGCCTCCCCTGCTTCTCCTCCTCCTTCATCTCCCACTGCAGCAGCCGAGCCGCTCACCTGCAGCAGCCGAGCCGCCCCACAGCCGAGCCGCCGGGTCGCTTAGCTGCTGAGCTGCAGTTGCTGCCGAGCCGCCCTGCCGCCGAGCCGCCGAGTCCCCGAGCTACTGAGCTGCAGTTGCTGCTGAGCCGCCTTGCCGCCGAGCCGCCCGAGTCGCCCGAGCCGCCGAGCCGCCGAGCTGCCGAGCCGCTGAGTCGCCGAGCCTACTCTTCCCACCACTGGTGAGCTCTTGCCCTGCTAGCACACTGCGCGTCGCCTGCTTGTCTGCCTGCCTGCCTTTTGGCTTGCCTGGCTGCCTGCCTCCCTGCTGCTAGTCCTGCTCCTGCTTCTACTTGCGGAGCCAAATGCAGCCCCAGCGACGCCGGCGTGAGTCCCTCACGCCCCAGCAGCTGCGTGAGTGGTACGCTGGTTGGGGCTGTAGGGGTGGCGACGCTACTCCTACTACCACTCCTGCTGCTTCTACTCGTGGTGGCGGCCAGATGCAGCTCCCGCGACCCTCTCCCGTGTCTCTCACGCCTCGCCAGCTTCGTGAGTGGTACGCTCAGAGTGGAGGGTCTCTCAGTGCTGTTCGCTGCTCGTACGTGATTCGCACTGGTACTCGGACTGGTCAGCCTTGTGGGACACGTAGTCATACACCGTCCCGCTGCTTCGCCCGTCTGAGCGACGCCTGGCGTACCGTGTTTGGCGACGAGGCTGAGCTTCCCGACTGGGTGGAGTTGCTTAGGCAGAGGGTAGATATATATGCTCTTGACTATGATGCTATTCTCACTGCCATGTATGCATTGCCTACTAGTACTGACCGTGCCGGTCACCTGTGCGTCCCGCCTGACCCAGGTATAGGACCTGCTGCTCTAGCTACTGGTGAGGCTGCTGCTCTGGGTGCTAGTGAGTCTCCTGCTCCAGGTACAGGTACGGCTGCTGCTCTAGGTGCTAGTGAGTCTGCTTCCTCAGGTGCGGGTGAGGCTGCGCTCTCAGGTACCGCGTTGGCTTCGGCCTCCCTCACCTTTACACTTGACTCTGGGGCTTCTCGCTCCTTCTTTCGGGACCGCACCACACTCACGCCGCTTGGTCGGCCGGTTGCAGTCTCCCTGGCTGACCCCTCTGGGGGTCCTGTCCTCGCTCACTTCTCCACTGTCCTCCCGTGTCCGGCTGCCCCCTCGGGCACCCTGTCTGGCCTGTACCTCCCCTCGTTCTCGACGAACTTGGTGAGTGGTGCAGACCTACAGGATGCGGGGGTTCACCAGTTCACTCCTGCGAGTCAGCGGGTGACCCACTGCACGGACGCACGCACAGGCCGGCACCTGGCCACGTTCTCGCGTCGGCCGGGGTCGAGCCTCTACACCCTGACCACTGAGTCTCCTCCTGTCCCCGCGTCCGGTCAGGTAGCAGCGTCGGGTCAGGTGTTTGCTGCTGCGTCCAGGTCTGGTCCTGAGTCTGCCCCCTGTACTTGTCGCCTCCTGTCTCACGAGACTCTCCTGTGGCACCACCGTCTTGGCCACCCCTCCTTGCCCCGTCTTCGGAGCATGGCTTCCCGTGTCCTTGTCTCTGGTCTTCCCCAGTCTCTCCCTCCTCTCCCCTCCGGACCAGGACCTTCCTGTGTCCCTTGTGTCGAGGGTCGCCTCCGGGCTACTCCTCACTCCTCCCACTTCCCCCCGACAGAGGCTCCCCTGCAGACGCTTCACATGGATGTGTGGGGCCCAGCCCCCGTCCGTGGGCAGGGTTACGAGCGCTACTTCCTGTTGGTGGTTGACGACTACTCGCGTTACACCACAGTCTTCCCCTTGCGCAGCAAGGGTGAGGTCACTGTGGTGCTGATCGACTGGATCCGCGAGGCTCGTCTCCAGCTCAGGAAGAGCTTCGGCTCGGACTTTCCTGTTCTGCGTCTGCACTCTGACAGAGGCGGAG